TGAGAGGAGAAGATTGCGGCAGGTAAGAGGAGGAGGCGGAGCAGGCTGGGGACGGGGGATCCAAGTAGATGAGATAGGAATTTTTTTTAATGTTTTAATTTTTTAGTTGTTATTTAATTATTTTAAAATTCCACGTCATGTACCACATCAACGCTGACTGGACTTTCTGTTAAAAACTAACGGTCAAAACGAGTCAACTTTAACAGAAAAATAGTTCAGGACATAAATGAAATATTGAAAAGAATAGTACACAAGTGACATTTTCTTCATAGTTCGGGTACAATCGGGTGTTGTTAGGGGTGTAAGTTTGACTCTTAAAACCCATTGACCCGCCCCGACCCGCCCCGACCCTCAGGGTCGGGCTGGGTCAGTTTGTCGATAGGGTCAATTTAGGGTCGGGTCAGCTTAGGGTCGGGTCAGGGTCAGATAGGGTCGGGTCACTTTTTGACCCTATGACCCTTAGCATCATACAAACATGTTGGACCTATTTGTAAAATTTTAAAAGTTTAGGTACTAAATTGTAAAAATTTAAAAATTTGGGTACCAAAACGTAATTTTACCATCAAATTTTAGGGACTTATTTGTAAAAAAAATAAAATTTAGGTACTAAAATGTAAGAAAAAATAAATTCGAGTACCAAATTGTAATATTTAGAAAAGTACTCTATTTATTAGGGTCGACTAGGGATGGCAGGCCCGGGCCCGTTAGCGGATACCCGCCCGAGGCCCGCCCGTTAAGAGCCCAAACGGACTGGTCGCACAGGCCCGTCAACGGGTGGCGGGGAAACCGGGATCCGTCAACCCTGGTTTTCGGGTGGGGTTGGTTTGGTCACTATCCGCCCCGTAACCCGCCCGGTGGGTTACCCGTGCACCAAAACTACGTCGTTTCGCCCTCCATATATATATTCGTGTTCTGTGTTGAGAAACCCTAGCAGCCGCCCCTCATTCCTCATTTTGCAAATCGCAGACCAAAAACACCAAACCCTAGTTTCCTTCTTTCTCTCTGCCTCTTCTCTGGCGAATCGCAAGATAATCGCGATTTTTTGCCTTTTCTCCTCTCCAAATCCTCGAATCTCTCCTAGTTTCACTACGATCTATCTTCGATTCCTCCATTCGACCAATTGCATGGCTGGAAGAGCAACGATCCGACGCCGATTTCGTCGAGCACAGGCCAAAAATTGGTCGTTTGGACTTCAAATCCCTGATTGTTCGTCGATAACAGATAAGTCAATTCTAGTTTTTTTCTTTTCTTTCGATTATCTTCGTTGTATCCTCAATCTACTGACTCTTCTTGACACTCGTACTGCTATATATAGGGGGATTTCAGAGGTCACCAGTCACCATCCTGACCTTCGTCCTTCGCTAAATTTCTACCCAGAACTGAGAACACCCAGTCCACAGAGAGTAGAGACAGAGAGATTGCGACGAGCATCCAGAAAGAGTCCAAGTCTTTTTCTGGGTAAGGATCTTGAACTCGCTTCCTTTTTCTGGGTTTGTGCCTTTGTGGTGTACTGGTGTTAAAACAGACATGCATGCTTGTCTCCTGTTCTAATTTTTTTTTTGTTCGTTGTTCACTCTTTTTTGGCCAGGTTGGACTCATTTGAAGCTGTATTGAAGGACTGAACTCAGAGTCCAAGTCTTTTTCTGGGTAAGGATCTTGAACTCGCTTCCTTTTTCTGGGTTTGTGCCTTTGTGGTGTACTGGTGTTAAAACAGACATGCATGCTTGTCTCCTGTTCTAATTTTTTTTTTGTTCGTTGTTCACTCTTTTTTGGCCAGGTTGGACTCATTTGAAGCTGTATTGAAGGACTGAACTCAAAGTCTCTGACGAGCAACTGAGCGAGTGATAGTGATCATCAGTGAGCAGTCTACTGTCATTGGGTACTCGACACTCCTCAGAAAAACAGAAAGACAAGTTAATCTCGTTCTCCTAAGTCGTAACCAGTAGGCAGTAACCATTGTGTTTGTTGTGTTGCTTTGACTTGTTAATGATAATAAACTGTAATGGTAACCACTATGGCTTGCTAATGGTAACCACTAATCCACTATGGCTTGTAAATTGTTGAAAATGGTGTCCTGTTTGCTGGTTAGAAGAAAAAATGTTGTCTGGTTGAAAATGGTGTCCATTTAAGTAAGGAAAAATGTAAAATGAAAGGTCTAATGACTCTAATCAGTGATATATAACTTGATTATGTTCAGATGGAAGGTGCTACTGCTAATGCTATGAATGTTGATCAACATGTCCCTGAAAATGGTGTCCAAGTCCAACCTGAACAACCTCCTCCTGTTCCAAATAATTCGATTAATGGTAATGAGGAAGAACTTGAAGCACAACGTAAGTTAACCTCTAATGTGTGGCCTCACTTCCACAGAGTTAGGATTAATGGGGTAATGAAAGCTAGGTGTAAGTACTGTCGTAAACCCCTTGGTGGGGAAACAAGTAATGGAACTTCACACCTGAGAAACCATATCAGAACATGTATCCAGAAGAGGATACATGATGGTTCTCAAAAAATACTTGGCCCCAACTATCAACCTGGTGGAAATCCTCAACTCTCTGCTTCTCAATACAATTATGAGGTTTCTAGGAAGGAACTTTGTTCTATGGTTCTGGTCCATGAGTACCCCCTTAGCCTTGTTGATCATGTGGGTTTCAAACGTTTTTGCTGTTCTCTTCAACCTCAGTTTGCTGTCCCTAGTAGAAACACAGTGAAAAAGGATATTCTGGGTCTGTATGGGGTTGAGAGGTCTAAATATCAGACAATGATTGATGGAAATTTGGGCAGAATTTCAGTCACTACTGATTTGTGGACTGCCACAAATCAGAAAATGGGGTATATGGCAGTAACTGGTCATTTTATTGACAACTCTTGGAAGCTTCGTAACATAATGTTGAGGTTTATGTATGTTCCAACCCCTCACACTAGTCAAAGGCTAGCTGATAGGTTGTTTGATTCACTTCTTGATTGGAACATTGATGGTAAGTTGTCCTCAATCACACTGGACAACTGTACCACCAATGATTCAATGATATTCCATATGCGAAATAAGCTTGTGAGCAGTGATCTCTTGCTTGATGGTAAACTGATTCATATGAGGTGTTCAGCTCATATTTTGAACTTGATTGTGAGGGATGGTTTGGATGCAATCAAAGATGCTATACATTTGATTAGGGAGAGTGTAGTTTACTGGAATTCTACACCTAAGAGGGTTCAAACCTTCTTTGAAGTTGTTAAGCAACTAAAGTTGACATTTGAGAAAAAACTGGTACTTGATTGTCCAACTAGATGGAATTCCACATACCATATGCTCTCTGTTGCTCTTCAATATAAGGATGTTTTCTTTCGTTTGAGCTTGAGGGACAGTCAATACACATCTGTTCCTTCTAGTTCACATTGGGAATTTGCATCTGTTGTGATTGATAAGCTGGAAATATTTTCTGAGATAACTCAGTTATTCTCTGGTTCCAAGTATCCTACTGCCAATCTTTTCTTCCCAAAGATTTGTGACTTGAGATTGAAACTGAATGAGTGGGGTCTTGACCCCAACCCTGTGATTTTTGGAATGGCCAGTCAAATGTCTGAGAAGTTTGATAAGTACTGGGATGATATCCATCTTGTACTTGCTGTTTCAGTTGTTTTGGATCCTAGATATAAGCTCCATGTGATTGAATACTATGCTGGGAAGTTTGGGAGTATGGAAACTGACTTGGTTGGTGATAATATCAAGAAGATTATTTGTGGTTTGATTCTTGATTATCAAACCAAAGCCGAGAAGAATTCTGGTTCTGAAACTGGAACTTCTTCTGCTAGTTTTGGATCTGTCTCGGCTACTGAACTTGACTTTGAGCTCTTTGTAAGTCAAAGGAAAAAGAGCAAGAGTTCTTTGATTACTACTGAGTTTGATATGTATCTTGCCGAGGATATTATTCCTCGGACAGCAGACTTTGATCTGCTCTTATGGTGGAAACTTAATGGTCTCAAGTATCCCACCTTGCAAGCAATTGCAAGGGACTTTCTGGCAATCCCAATTACATCTGTTGCTTCTGAAAGTGCATTTAGTTCTGGTGGGAGGTTGTTAGACCCTCACCGGAGCAGGCTTCATTATTCCACTGTTGAATCAATGATGTGCACACGAAGTTGGATTATGGAAGACATGCAACGAGGTAACATGCAACTAAATCTCTAAATTCTAGTACAACTAATTTTGTTTAAGTGTAACTAATATTTGTATACTTTTTTCTGCAGATTCGGAGGCTGCTGCTGTGGAGGCATTGGAGGGAGTCTTCTCAGCACTGTCAGTGGAAGATACTACTGTAGAAGAGGAAGAACCTGGGGGTAAGAAAATTAGTGCATTTCTAATTTTGTTCAATGAGATTTGAGGTTGAACTAATGTGTTTTGCTTTCTGGTTTTTAGGTCCAGAAATGGTGTTCCTGAGATCACCATTTGGCCATGAAGACTGAACCATTCTCTACTGTCCAGCCAGGTTAATTACTTTAAAACTTCTTCTCTTTTGTTGCAAGAACATGGAGTTTGTTGGTGTTACACTGTTACTGGTTAGGCTTAGGGAGTTAAGTCTTTTTACTTGAATGTTAGTGCAGAATTTCAATTGATGAATGATGACTGCCGCTACCTGCTATTGCGTAAGATGGCTAATGGCTTGATGGGTTATGGAAGGCTGCTGTTGGTGAATTTCAATTGATGTATTTCAATCGAAGGAAGGCTGCTGTTGGTGCAGAATTTCAAGTTGAAGCTTCATCTTGCTCGAAGGAAGGCTGCTGTTGGAATTGATCTCAATAGTTAGGATGGCTTATGGCTTTGTTTAGCTAATTAGCTTAGTTGTTCTTGCTTTGAATAAGACTCGGCAATCAGACTGCTGAGAATGGATTGTCTTTTGTTGATTTCAGTTTGGATGATTTGATACTTTGCTTGAATTTTGATTGTTGATCTCAACTTTCAAGTTTCGAATGTTACTGATGTCAGGTTCAGGGTTCAGTTTTTGAGATCTTGTATAAGTTTATTATTGATAATAAAAGGAGATGTCAGATTTTCAGGATTTTTTTTAATGTACTTTGTCGTTTTGGTTGGCATTGTTACGGGCTTTTTAGACCCGTGGGCACCCGAAAACCCAGCGGTGACGGGGCTGGGTATATTACTAGGCCCGGAAGCCCGTTTGGGTCGGGGACGGGTAAACCCGAAGCCCAATGTGGGCGGGGAACGGATACAGGGTACCCGGCCCCGATCCGCCCCGTTGCCATGCCTAGGGTCGACCCACTGACCCGACCCTTCCTGACCCGCCCCGACCCTAAAGGGTCAGACAGGGTCATGAAAGAAACAGGGTCGGGACGGGTCAGTTATACATCTTGACCCTTCGGGGGCGGGTCAGATAGGGTCAGGACAGGGTCAGGGGCGGAATGAAGGTCATGGAGAAATAATCAAATTAGGCTTTGAGCCAAACATTCGAGATAGTGACTGAAGGCCAAGGGCTCAGGGTCATGACTCCGAGTCAAACTTTCATGAATTTATACGAGACATCAATGTCATTTGCTAATGATAAATCGTTCTAAACGAAAGAAGCAAAGATTGCACCTTAACGAGCATGATAAATCATCCAAACGAATCTTTCTACATTCATCCCAAATCTCAGATTAAACCAGCTAAAGCTGAGTGCTGACGAACAAATAGGAGAGCCTGCATGGTGGGTTGACTGGAAAAGTCCAATCACCAAATCTCAATGATGGAATAAGAGTATGTAAACTTTTAAGAATTTATCTATTTATAACACCTGTACATGATAATTTCCAACTACAATATTATACAGTATTTCTGGAATCTCACAACCATATTATCAACAATTCAACAGCTGGCTAAATACATATACAGTATGAAAAAGAGGGAAAAATTGTGCCCTCGGCAAAACAATTAGGAGAGCCTAACAGGTTTCACAACACTTCTTACGTTGTTTCATGATCAGCAGTCCTATGGGAATGGTTAAAACTTAAAACCACTGTAAAACCTGCTAGTAAGATAAAACAAGAAGAAAAAGAAATCAGTTTCCATACGAATGGAAACTATGATCAAAGGATGGACTCAACAAGGTCATGAAGAGGCGCCAGTTCCCCCTTGTCGATCAGTCGAAATTCCTGTCGATGAACCAACCAAGTTAGAAAGGGAAGAATGCAAAACGTGTTCTGTAGGTAGTCAGTGCTAAGAAAATCTTACCCATGTAAAGAGAACAAAATGTTTAAAGCAAGTGTTTAGGTGTGCTTCTTCCTTCAAACTCACAATCTTCTGGAAATGTGAGTGGTATATGTGGGCATATACACGGAATAATCTCTTGAAGATTGTCTTCACGACATCTTGGAAATTTGGAGGGAATGGTGCACCTGGACACATCATAGAGCCACAGATGATCTAAGAACTTGGCCACAATCTTCTATTTGTTATAGCACCTCAGTTTAGTTGTAGAGGAAATTATTAACTAACCCAGTCTTTGAGGGAAAATCTTCTCTTCATCTAACTGAGACTCAATCCAGTCCATAAGATATTCAACATACTTTGGGGCGGAGACCTCAATCGGCTTCTTTATGTTAACACCGTCAGCCCATCTGTACTCGTATCTGTACAGAAATTAGAAGGAGAAGTAAGACCCAAGAACATTGAGAATATGGTTAATGTCCAATCATAATACAATGGTGATATGCTACATTCAAACAACAAACAGAATTCACATAGGGGGGGGGGGGGGGGGGTCAAAGAGTGATACTTTGAGCCGGCTGACATTGTTGGACAGTTGGATGGTGTACAAAATTCACTCAAAGTGTCGTACAAAATGTTCACTTGATTGAAGAAATCCACAGCTGAAGCACAAGGATAGGGACAACAAAATATCAAAATGATCATAATCAGATTTCATTCAAATAGATTACACAGATGAAAAAATATATCAAATTGGATTTTAAACACCTACAAACAAGTCTAGCGAGTGAAAGTGAATCGTGCATTAAGTCGAAATACTAGCAGAAGAAAGAGCAAAGCTAAATTCACAATTCCTACATGGATCGGTAAGATATGCAGTTTCAAATATTGAAAGATAACCAAATACAATATCCAAGCAAATTATCAGACAAAAAAAGGAGCCAGGCAATGAACTCACTGTTGACGGCTAGCCACTCGTTGATATCTTCTCCAGGAGGCAGTCTTACAGCTTCCCTCAAGTTGCCACTACCCAAGGTAGCATCAATATGTGCTTGAAGTTGAGCACCCTGTATAAATTGAGAAGGAATTCAGTCAAACTTAACAACTGCCTGGAAACGAAAATACCCCCCACTAGGGAAACAAACTCTTCCACAAACCTTGCTACCGGATGGAGCATTCTTCTTAGGCCGAAATGTCCTCTGGTTTCTTCAAAACCAAAACAATTACAATTCAAGAAGATAAACAGGTCAGAGGCTGAATGGAGAGCAACAATGTAGCAATGACAGACATTATGCAATTAAAATACCGAGAATCAAGTAGAAAGCAAAATGAATGAACTCCCCCAACCGCAGGAAGACAGTTTCTCAAGTGATCAATAGCCTTTTCCACTTAAATCACTCTTGGGAGATGCAATTTTAGCTTATTTCTTGGATATAATAGATAATGCCCCAAGAGGTTTGGATTAAGTAAAGGTACTAATTTATTGTTGTAAACAAAAACTCGAGCAAAGATTAACAGGCATCATACTAAGCTAAGGAAAGCATATACCTCCATTTTCCAAAACAAAATCGAATACAAAACTACCCACCACTAAGACAGACATGGACCTCAAGGTGCTGTAGCAGGATTAGCCAACATTAAATTTAAAGGCTGCATCTTTTTCCCATCGAAATAGCAGCCAAAGAAACACAAAAAGAATGAAGGCCAAGGTAAAACAAAAGGGGGAAATCGAGTCAACAAAGAAAAGCTGGAAAAAAGCAAGCCAGGATCTCTTCTTAATAAGAAGTTCCTGAAAATGGGTATAAAATAATGGGGGAATGACAGGAAAATCTTCTTACACCAGATGCCCACAAATTCCAATTCCATGATCTACGACCATTTGTATAATTCTACAGATTTTTTCCAAAGTCAATCCAAATCCCGGTCCCGACTCTGATCAAAACTCGAAATTAATGGGAAAACACAACCATTAAAATTCAAGAGCGAGAGAGAGAAAGCAGTTGGCCGGTTGATCACCATGGGTAAATAATTCACACTGTGGATTCTTCCTCAACAACAAAGACCCATGTACGCGCCCAAAAAAAGAAAAAAAAATCGATACTACGAACAAACAAGAACGAGACTACCAGATTGAAACATGCATCGGGCGATGAAATCAAAACCGCCCCAAATCGGGGAGAAAAGAAAAAGGAAGAAGCTGATGCTATACCTGCTGCCGAGGCCGAAGAGACTCATGCCGCCGGTGGGTTTTTTTTTTTTTTTTTTGCTTTCAACGCCAAATAATGGTGATCGAGAAATGAGAATTTTGTCAGGCGGGCTGGCTATATGCCTAATCCTATATTGTCTCTTTCGTTCTGAAGCCACCTTCTCTTTTCCATTTCCCCCCCCCCCCCCCCCCCCCCCCCCCCTCATTCGCCGTATTTATAGGAATCGGACACCACCGGCTTCGAAAAATAATTTTATTCTTATTTATTTTGAAGTAATGTTGGATCCCTGTCGAGCCCAATTTTGGCATATTTGTGGACCGTCGTACTTAGAGTCCGGCCCATCCAGATTAGGAAAAGTAGAAGCGAAGACGTTCACAGTTGGGCTTTGGACTTTCGTTTGGGCCTATGTGGTTAACCTAAAGAGACTAGTTTCCTGCTTGTCCTTTCATCACTTTTAATGATGAGCATGACATGATTAATGGAAGCTCCCGCTACATTAGTAAGTAAATATGCTTTAACTGAGGTTAAGATAGAAACAATAATCTTTAATAAAACTCATATAGTCCAGAATGGTCCAAATTCAAACGAGCAAACCACAGAGAGAATCCATGCGTTGACCTACATGACAAATAACTAATATTTACCAAAAGACAAAATCACATATATGAAAGAGAACGAGTTAAATCAAAATTTGTCAATTATTAGTGTATAAGGGTATTCTTACTGTTTTTTATTCTTTGTCATGGTTTACTTAGAGTTCCCTATAGATACTTTCAACTTTTTTTTTTTAAATAAATTTTTAACATAACTCTCTACTTTGTCCAATCTCTCTATTCAAAATCTCTTCTTTGCCAATTATGATGACCTAAGAGACCACCAGGATAAATCTACTATATTTATCACAGGAAAAATTTAACTATTGTGGAAAAAAGAGAGAAAGACATTGGCTCTTCAAGAACTACAACAAATGTCATCAGAATTCAGAATGGAACAGAAGGAATACAAACAGATAATCAGAAAGCCGGCACAAAGAAATCACAACAACAAAAAAAAGACACACAATTACTCCAATATTCCCAACTAGCTCATTTCACAGCTTGCACAAAAAACGAATAATGTTCAGCTAGCCACTGCCACCGAGGACCCCCTTGAGCTTCTTCACCTGGGCATCGTCCAAGAACGTGACCTTCTCGACGACCTCCGACGGCAGATCGTTGGCGAACAGCGCAAAATCGGTGATCTGCAGCCCCGGGTTGTGGCTGCTGAACGCCACGAACCCGAGCGCAGGTCCCTTCCCTGAGTTGAACTGGAAGTGGAGCAGCCCCTGGGGGAAAACCATGATTTCACCCCTGTTGAGCGACTTCAAATACACCTTGTTGGCTCCGGACGAAATGAAGCCCGCGCAGATGGTCCCTTGGGCCACGAACAGCACCTCGGATGCGGCCGGGTGGGTGTGGAGCGGGATGACCCCGCCCAGGGCCAGGTCCAGACGGGCCATGGACAGGCCCAGCCCGTTGAAGCCCGGGAACTGGCCCACGAACGCGGGCGTGACCGCGGCCTTGATGATGTTGGTGGTGTTTCCGGGGACGCCCAGGCCCGCGAAGGCGAAGTCTTCTACGGTGACCGTGGTGACCGACTTGCACGGGTAGCCGGCGGGTGTGTCGGCGGATTTCAGGTCGGCGACGCAGAAGTCCTGGACCAAGGCGGCGGAGGGTGAGGCGAGGAGCGCGGCGGCGACGAGGAGGAGGGAGAGAAGCTGCGGCATTGCGAGGTTGGTGTTCATATTGAGGGGAATGGATGAGTAAGAAGAAGAAGAAGGTAGAGCGGTGGTGGTGAAAAGGAAGGGTTTCCGGTTAGGGTTTATATAGACTGGAATGGATTCCAAAGGATATGCCTGGCTGAAGATTTCCAAGGGATATGCTTAGCTATGGCCGCGGTAACGTTATGGGGTGCATGTGATGGTGCGGTGTCTTGACGTGAGGGCGGTCGAAGACAAGAAGGCTCTTTTTTTGCCCTTTTGCAACTCCCAAAGCCGAAGATACTTTTGATGTGAAAAAATATCTCATGCCGAAAGGAATCGGTGAATAGTGTGTATATATAGATACTGGAAAGAAATTTGTAAGAAAATATATAGGTATGAACTGAGTTTATACTATAACTATAAATGCATAAGTTCAGTTTGTACGAAATTTGTACGAATTTTATTTGTACATAAAAATGTGTATAGATACACAAATTTGTAGCATAACATGAAGTACAGTTTTTTTGTATAACAACAAGGGAAGCTAGTTAAAATAGTTTCACTGATATTTGCTAATTTATGTCAACTCTTATTATTGTGCAAAACATAGCTAAAATATGTTTTCGTCTATGTTTACGTGTAAACGGACAGTGAAAATGATTACCAAGGCTAAAAGAGGGCGGAGACGATTTTGAAACAATGTACGTAAAACCACCATGCACAGTCTTGCGCAGTGTAAATTAAGGCGTTAGTGGTCCATAAGCTAGCACATGGTGGCCACAAAAAGACATTCTAGCAAAGCAAGCAAATAAAGGGAGAGTTCACAAACAAACTTAATAAAGAGCTCTCTGCAAGGTCGCCCTTCTTGTCCGATCCCCGGCTGCCGGCCCCGAAAAAAAAAACAAACCGATTTGAAATAAGAAGCCATCATCTCATCTTCATCGTCATCCAAGTGAGTGGACGTCGTGAATTCCCTTCCCATCCTCTCCTCCATAGGATGGGCAATAGGTCGGGTTGGGTCGGGTTCTGCAAAACTCAAACTCAAACTCATGGGTTTATCCTTGAAAAAAACTCGGGGTAAAATCCATTGGGTTTCAAAAACTCAAACCCAACCCAATCCGCTGGGTATCTGCGGGTTCATGGGTACCCACGGGTTTTTGTCGTAAAATTTACAATAACAAGTTTCTATCAAAATTAAAGTCAAATATCAATCTCTCAATACAAATTATCCATATATAAAACACCATTCTAGAAAATTCAAGAAAATCACAAATTAACTATACAAATTTTTCAACACCGATTTAGAAAACTCAAGAAAATTGAAGCAAATAACAAATTATCCATAAATAACACGATTAATTGAAAGCTTCTTCCTTTCAATTAAGTTTTTCACTCTCTACTCGATATCATCAACTTAATTCTACACAATAAGAAAGAATAAATTAGACATGTCTCCACAAATATAAATAAGATTAGTAGCTTAGAATATCAAATATATCGAAAAAATTAATTATATAGGTGTGGGCGGGTACCCACGGGTTGGGTTTAGCTAAACCCAAACCCAACCCAACCCGATGAATAGTGAACGGGTTTAAACCCATACCCGGCCCAAAATCCGTCAACACGGATTTTACCCGCGTTGACTAGGTTGGGTCGGGTGGGTACCCGTAGGTTCGGGTTTTGTTGCCATCCCTACTCCTCCACCATTTATGGGCTTCCCCCGGCCCACGTCTATCCTGTTAGTGTTGTGGACTTGTGGTATATGATCCACGATTGAACCTCTCCCAACAACTCGAGTTATTGGGAGCAACTGGTTTATGACATGGTATTAGAGCTGGTTTGGCCAAGTGGTCGTGTGTTCGAATCTTCACGATCTCCAGTGCCATAAGATCCAGCATAACCTTCTCTCAACAACTCGAATTATTGGGATCCACTAGTTCTTGACATCCATCCCTTCATGGCTAGTATATACTTCGTTTGCTTATTTTACCCGGTTACGGGTTAGAACTTGAGAAAAATAAACCAGAAGGCGCCTATCTCTTCATCTCCCATCCTATGTCGGTCGGCCAGGCAGCGATCTCAACTTTATCTATGTATGGCTCCACACTTCCACTTGTTGCTAAGCTTTCTATCCAATGTCTCACCAATGTGTGGTTACACCAAGCCACAGAAATATCTAGCTAAGCTACTAGTAGTGGTAAGCAAAGAGGGCCTAGCTAGTTTGTCCACTTTCCCTTCAGTTGAAAAAAAAAAACATGGAAGTTGATATGTCAAACACTGTATATGGGGCAATTTTGCTATGGTGCTCTTAGTATATATTTCATGAGTGCTCGTGCTCAAAAGCAGTGGCGTAGTCAGGATTTGAGTTTAGTGGGGTCATATTTACAAAAAATCTTATAACATTGTATTCGATTATCAAGTAAATTTTCTTCAAAATAATCAGTCGAGTAGTCATTCATCAAACCATTAGTTATTAGATTTGTACCTTACATTTTGTGTAACTCATAATTAAAAAGTGACATTTCAATAACTAGCTAAACTAAATATATAGTTCCCAAGCAAAATCTAATACAAACAAACGTTTTATAAAACACATTTGATGACAAAGAAATTGTATATTGATAGGAAAAATTTGTTGAACTAAGAGCTTTTTAGATATAGCTAGAGGATTTTGTACACATATTTAGTAGAATTAGAAATTTTTAGAATAAGGACTATAAAATTGGGAATTTTCAATGATATATGACCAATATAGTCTAATTTATTTGTGTGTTTCATAAGACTAGGACAATTAAATTCCATATGAATTGGGTCCTGAATTCTAAATCTACCCAAATTAAACAAATATGTACATACATATAACCATTTTAATTTATCCAAGTAGGATCCTAGGACCCCACTCTCTTCCACCTCCCTCCCCCACTGGCTCAAAGGGTAGGGATTTGGCCACATCAACAAGGAAGTGTGTACATGAATTAACTTGCTACTTATCTCACAATGAATATGAATTAACTTGTTACCGAATATGATTTGAACCGACAATGAATAAGAGTGTACATGGACCATGGTATCAGGTTAACTCTTATTCCTCCGAATTTAAATTTCATATTCAATACCATGTAAAATAATATTTTGTGTAAGCTCAGCTCATAATCAGTGTCAGCGCATATTCAATAAAAATAATCTTAATCTCATATTATATATATTGACTATACGTTGAATACCAAATCAAATCATATTCAACTCAAGACAACCAAACAAAATAACATGAATATCAAATACCATGTGAAGTCATATTCTATAATGTGATACAAGTATTCAGTACTAGTCTATGAAAGGAGAAGTCGCATAAAAGTTTTTCTTTTCCTCTACTTTGAACTTGAACAAGCGAGATTTATGTGCTATTCTGCTCAGGCTTATTGTTTGATCTCTCTTTCAATCTCTCTCTCTTCTCAGGCTTATTTGGGTGACTATTTGGTATCTCCAGGTGCAACCTAAGCTGAAGTTCTTCTCGTGGTAGATCTTTAGTCGCATCTTACCAACCACGGAGGCTCTGCTAGAAAAGAAAGTTGAGGTTGTGACTCGTTGCCCAGTTTGTTGGGCGAATTTGGAAATGACGGAACACCTCTTCTTTCTATGCCTGGTGGCAGAGGCTTTGTGAACAGCGTCGATGCTCGGGGTTTGGAGGACTGGCTAGATAGGTCAAATTTTGTTATCTTCCTTCGTCGGGTTCTGGAGCGTGCTACATCCTTGGAGAGGGTGTGTAAGATTGTGGCAGTGTTGTGGCGCATTTGGAAAGCAGAAAATTGGGTGGTCTTTGATTTTAAACAAGTCGGCATTTTGAAACTTCAGCAGCATCTTTCCTATCATGTCTAGGAATGGCTTCGAGCAGTGGCGAGGGAGGAGATGGGTGTTGGGAGTGGCCTACCCGGACATGCGACGGTCATGGATCTAGGATGTCCCTCGACGTTGGTTTGCTCTTTTGATGGAGCAATGAGTGGTGATTCCCATGTGGCAATAGGGATTATTTATTCAAGATGCAACTGGGGTTGTTATGATGGTTAAAGGCGAACGCTTGGAAGGGGAGTTTGATCGGGCCGTGGTGGAGTTAGTTGCCCTCCGGGAAGCTCTCTATTGGTGTATTGAGAATGGTTGGGACTCGATGCAAGTGTATGGGGATGCCAAGATTATCATTGACAAGGTCAATGCGTGGTGTGCGTTGGATGCGAAGGGTGGGGTGCTTCTCCGTGAGATCAGAGCTTTCCGACACATTTACCCGGGTTATCTGGTTCAGTTCGTCGGTAGACAAAACAACAGGGTTGCCCACTTAGTATCAAGGAAGGCCCTCGTATTGGCAGCTAGTGCTATGTTAGGGTTTGATTTTTGCGCTTGACTCCGTATGAAGATGTAAACGTCTAAAAAAATTAGACACTAACAAACCGTGGTTTGAAAACCTTTCTTTTCAATATCTTAATAACTATTCATTACAATTTATGGTATAGTATAGATAGATACAACAACACACTGAATAAAGTAGATGATTTTTCTCAATCCCCTTTGCCCCCTCTCATTTAGAGGGTTTTAATAACTTATTATTCCCATGTTCACAGCGTGTCATTATTAGTTGCCATGAATCAACTTCCTGGTTGGGCTAACAAAAATCAACACTAGCTAGCCAGTTGCTCTCTTATTACATCAGAAATACCATACAATCAATTACTACATAAACAATAGGGATGTCATCCTGCTCAAACCTCAAAGTCGAGCCATTAATGGACCGCCGCCTTCCTCTGCACCTCCTCCCTCCATGAAAGGATAATCAGTGTACCCAACAGCATCATGGGTATAGAAGCTCCTCCTGTTGTACTTATTCAATGCCGCATTCACCTTGAACCTCGTCACCAGGTCCGGATTCGACACGAACAGACGACCGTACGAGACCAAATCCGCATCCCCTGAACCCACCGCCGCCATCCCGAGCTCCCTGGTGTAAGCCCCGCTGGCCATGAACGTGCCGTCGTAACTGGTCCTCAGCGTCCTCATCAGCTCCGCCTCTTCCTCCTCGCTGCCCGGCCTGCCCGACTCGGCCTGCCCGTAGGCCGTGTACCGAGGCTGCGTGACGTGGAGGTACGCCAGCTTCGAGCCCGCTTGGCGTTGGAGTGAGTTCAGCCTCTCAACCACGGCGAGGCCCAGCTTCAGCGGGTCCGAGTCGATGGCGTCGAGGTGATCGATCGCGGGCGAGACTCGGACACCGACTCGGCTGGCGCCGATGGCTGAGACCACGGCTTTGACCACCTCCGTCAGGAATCTGCACCGGTTCTCGAGGGTTCCGCCGTAGTGGTCGGTTCGGTCGTTGATGCCGTCTTTCAGGAACTGGTCGACGAGGTAGCCGTGGGCGCCGTGGATCTCGATGCCGTCGAACCCTGCAAAGGGACAGAGCGGTATTTTGATATCCCAAGTTCGGTGCAGATCGGGTAATTTATCATATGATATGGTTTGAAATAAGTGGATTATTATAAAGTTATGTAGTAATTTGAAAGAAAAATATTAATTTTTTATTAGAAAAAGGCAAGGCACAAACTATAACATGGTAAATATTATTAAATTATTTGAAAAATTGAAGTTCTCATCTCAGCTATATACGACTTTATTATAGCTGAGGTAATAAAAATAAAATTTTAAGTAATTTGCGTACAATTACACATAATTTAGGCAAAAACGAGTTAAGTATGACGTAGGTCAGTACAAGTCAGTTCAGGTCGAGGGAGTATCGATGCCCGCCCCGCCTCGTCTACGGAATCCCGATCCCTAATTAATTATTGACCTCTAAGGTCCGAAAATAGCTCGTGTCCATGTTATCATCATCCCCGACCACGAATAATGAGAAATGGTGCAATGAAAGGTTAGGTAAGGACCTGCTCTAATGGCGTTGACAGCAGCATTACGATAACTCTCGACGACGAGTGGGATTTCGGAGGTCTGAAGCTGCCTAGGGACAGGGTAAGGCGCCCAGGTTCCATCAGGCATCAGGATTCTGCCCCTTTTGGACACGGGCTTGCTGGTGGATGAGATCGGAGCAGCTCCACCTGGTTGATAAACTAGGATTTGCATGCAACATAAGATCAGGTTTAGGGTTTGGTTGGTGAAGAGAAAATGGCCTGCATAATATATCAGGGTTGCTAAAACTGTAGTACCGTTATGTGAGGCACGGCCGACGTGCCAGAGTTGACAGAAGATGAAGCTCCCTTTGGCATGAACTGCATCCACTACTTTCCTCCATGCGTCCACTTGCTCTTCCGAGTAAATCCCAGGTACTTGAGGAAACCTGCCATCCCATTCCATAAAACCATCCAAATTTTAACAGTTGAAGTTACATAACTATCGCTGCTTGAACTTGCATCAGGCAAAAAGTTCACGACTCAGCCATGATCGAGTTCATCTAAGAGGTGCCTACATGCCGGGATTTACATAAACAAACTTGATTGAACTATGTAAGTAGCCTTTTGATGAGTTGCTACAACTATATACACCATAGGACTTGGCCTTTCTTTAGTGTTGTTGAGATTCGTTCTTAGGAAAAATCCAAACCCTAGTACTTATTACTACCAGTCACATCTTACAATTTTCTCCTTACTTTACCTCTAACAACAACAATTTTGTTGAAATTCTCATAACCAGCAATGTGAGCATACCTCTGCGCACGATCTAACGGATCCGTGCACTTATGAGCATGTTCTCACATAATGATTTTGAGCGCCATAATATGATCGACAAAAACAGTTACAATCACTAAAATAATATCATCTGCGCGCGATCCAACGATTCCATGCACATGTGAGCATGTTCCCACAGAATGGTTGGGATAACCATAAACGGGTCGACAAAAACAACTACAACCAACCACTAAAAGGAGTTCAGGCAAGTAACTAAGTAAGTGTATAATGATTAGTTCCATGTGCAACAGCTTTGGATAAAAGCCAGAATAATGCATCAACAATTCACCGACCAATGTTATGATTGCTGGCTGCAAGTTAAAAGAGAGTGGAGGCCTGCTATAATGGGTTAGAGCGGCCTATTTATGAATGGGCCACAAATCCCAATGACGCAAATAAACAAGATCCGGCCCATGGACCAAGGCCCATAGAATAATCGCAGTGGACCCCGCCCGTCCACTTATTTGATACCCATCGGTGGTTCGTGTGGGTCAAGTCTTAGTGGGTGTTACTATAGCTGAGTCACTCTCTGTCCACGTCCTCCGATTCCGATCAACCTCCTCCACCAACTCTACTTTTTGACCTTTTCCTCGGCTCTCTCTCTTTCTTTCTCGAGAAAGTTTTTCCAAGCACGGAATGATGAGAGTTCCGAGAAACAGTAGAGAGGAAAAGTTGAAGAGTGGGGGAATGGATCAAATGAGTGGAACGAGGGAAAAAAAAGGTGATGAGGAAATGACGGAATTACCCCGGGCCGGTGGGATCGACGCTGGTGCCTTCGGAGATGAGGAGGCCGCCGGGAGTGGATCTCTGGGAGTAGTACTCCGCCATCATCGCCGTCGGTATACCATTCAGCGCCCTGCACCTCGTCATCGGAGCCAGAACCACCCTGCGCCAGTGCGCACACACACACACAAAAAGTGTTTGTTACAATCTCCTCCTCCGGGGCGGCCGCCGCCGGGATTGACCGAAGGAAAAGCAAGTGGAGATGGAGAAATGTTTTTTCCAACTGACCTGTGGGAGAGGCTGAACTTGCCCATCCTGTAAGGAGAGAAAAGGGTCGTTCCTTCCGCTGCCCCTGATCCCCTGCCTTCCCCTGCCATCTTACAAGTAAGTCTACTTCGATTCGATCGAGGGCTGAATTTGGGAGGTTGAGATCAGAGCTAAGGGCTGCAGCAGAGAAATGGGTTTGTTACGGAGAGGGAATTGGGGAAATTTTGATCACGTGGGTCGGAGTTTGGCGTATTTGTGCAGGCAGACTGCGAGCTGGGTTCTGGGATGGGGAATGGACGAGTGGAGGGAGGAGGAATATTAATATGAACTGTAAGACTGGATCTGAACTGAACCCATATATGGCCGACTTTGGTCTAACTCTAAAGGAAAAAAAACAGAGCTCTTTTTTTTTTTTTTTTAATTATCCCACGTTTCGTTTGCGAGCATACAAGTTATTGTTGTGGGCTGTGGAATGGGCAGGCCGTCCACACGCTAGAAAGCAGCACAGGTAAATCACATCTCCGACAATCATTTTACACGTTTAACACCAATTGGGGCAGGAAAGCAATTCTCGGAGCAAAATAGCCAAAGAGCAAGAATTGAACACTCCAAAATGAATTCTTGCTCACAAAATGACAATTCCGTGCTAGACCAGGCAGGCGGCCACCACCAGAAAGGAGCCAAAAAATGCATCGGAGGAAGGGTTTTGGCTCGCATTTGCACGCCACAATCACAAAGTTTCCTTCCCCGCGTCTGCTATTCACGCTTCCGTCCTCTCTGTGCTTGGTCTGCATATGTCTCTCCACCAGTTAAGCGCTCACGAGTCACAAATGATCAGACCAATTATGTACAACCCACTTCAATTTGTGTTTTGCTTAATTGAATTGTTTTCTTAGTCCAACTAAGTTAGGATCCTTTTAAATTTTTACTATTTAGACAGATATGTGATGAAGTTGTGGTCATCTTAATTCATTATTGTATTTTTTGTTATCATATCGTTGATATATAAAGACGAAAATATATCAAATTAAGAAAAATTAGATCGAAATGTTTATTTTAATGAGCTAGGTGTTTGATGTCATATTTAACTGAATTTCTATTTAACGCCCTAAATTTTTAAATAAATCGCCCTAAATATAATGAATGGACGATTTTGCCCCCAACATTAAACGCCATTTCTTCAATTAATTGAATATAGATTTACGCCCTAATGACATTCTGTCTTCCGCGGCCAGCCGCCCTCTATATTTCCCAACAACGCCGCCGCCCTCTCTCTTCACCGACTTCGTCGCCGCCTTCTATCTTCCAAGGCATCGCCACCGCAATATGCTTCATCTCGCCTCCGCCATCTGTCGCACCCCGCAGCGCCGAGACCCTCTGTCTTCCCCGGTAGAGTCGCCCTATCCACCACTTGTTCTTCTTGGTCGAAGGTTCTATCACCATCTCTCAAACCTCTGTCGATCTTCCCTTCCATAACTGCGTTCGAACCAGGCGCCATTCTGTCATTTTTACTATGTTAATAATCAAAGACAATGCCCAAATTGATTCCACTATAGCACCCAGGTAATACAAGCGTTTACCTTAAAGGCCGGCCACCTCCGGTTTCGCTAGCCGGTGACAATGAAAATGGGGTAGCCATAGTTGTGGACAACTGCCGCCGCTTAGCTTTGTTTGAAATTTAGAATAGGGGTAAATGTGTCTATTTTAAATTTAGGGCGATAAAATTTGAAAATCTAGGGCGACGAATAGTAACTCCCATATTTAATGATGAAATTTTTGTATGTCGATATAAAAAAATTGAATCGAAATTTTCATTTTAATTAATTATGACTACCTATATTAAAATAATCTACAAACTATCTAATTAACATTATGAAATCTACTCCAAACAACATTAACACAAAAATTAAAGTTATTGTTCTTTAGCATGCCAATGGAGCAGATACCACTTTTGGGTGCCAAAGAGCAAAACTAGCTCTTGCTCTCTAGCACCACCCTTGGAGATAGTCTAAGAGCGGCTTTTGGGTAGGGTGGCCAATAGGGCGGTTTGTGTGTTTTGGTTTCAAATTGACCTGCCCGTTTACCAGTAAGTTGGTATAATTGTGACCTTCAATCCCCACACATTCTTTTCCATGTTGGATTGGATGGGGACATATTGGTACGACTGGATTGTGGGTTAGCCCGCAAAAATGATTTTCCAACTAATCATTAAAAAAGTTCACTAACACTTAATAATAAGTTCTTCGTAACTTCGTAAGACTCTATCAATTTATACACTTTCCTCTTTGTCTTTTATGGATCTTAATATTATATGCATCAAAAGTTTCATTACTCCATCAACCAATTGTATAGAAAAAACTTAATAACCAATAACAGATATATTCTTTATCCTTAGGAGTAGATAGTCGGTGTATAGTGCAGTTAGGAAATACGAGGACTATTCTTTAGTATAAGAAACAATCATTTGTCAGGTGAAAATATAGTGCAGGTCATTCGGGTGACCCACAATCCACTCATCACCAATTTGAATAAGTGCAGGTAAGAGATTTACCAATCCACAATCCACCCACCCACTATGGTTTGATTTATTTGAGGGTGGATCGATGTCAAACCGCGGATTAACCACCCACGTGCCACCTCTGCTTTTGGCCACAGAGGGAACATATATACATCACCCGTCATCACTAGTCTATATAAGCTAAATCACTAATCTATTGTTAACAGTATATTATGAAAGAGAGCTTGGTGCTAGGTTGAACGACACTGTTTTGTTCTCTACCATTCACTTGTTGCGTGGACAGGTGACTTCGGATCAATAGTATGATAGCGTCGAGCATGGTTTGAATCTTCATTTCGTCATCGGCTTCATCTTCTATGCTACGTCCCTCAAGTTAAGCATACATATTTTGTATGTTCAGCTTAGATCACAAGTATTGAAGTCTGAATTTGCTCAGCCCATTTGTAAATAAGCCTACAATTTGATCCTTTATATTAAGGTGGTTGAGTGAAATTATCTAGGACCGAAGATATTGACGAAATGCATGACAGTCGATTCAATTGCTTTGATTTTTCATCAAACACTAGATTTTTAATAATATATATAGTTGATCGATTGTTACACAAGAGCTCCGCATGTTGCAAATGTTCAATATTAAGTTCCTGTAGATGCCTCTTAGCTCGAACTACTTCACGCATATGTTGAGTAAGGGCCCTGTACTTTACCTCCGAGGAGGAATAAGACATTGTTCCTTGTTTCTTAGATTTGTAAACGATGAGAAACTTTCCTAACAAAATGTAATAGGCAGTAGTGGTGGCAATTAAACTCGCGATAGTGGGTACCCGACAGTCCATGATCCTATCAATGCAAGGAATTCCCACACTGACTGGGTATGAGGTGGACATGAGTAAAACCCTTAAAAAAATTTATTGGGATGGAGCGGATGTGGTATTAAGTCCTCGTCCTATACTCATATTCATACTCACCCCACAAAGAATATCTCTACACTAAGTATATCATACTCCAAGTGATATGGTAGTTTGAGAACTGCAATGGCAGGAAGATCATCACCCGCAAGGATGATATTGTGTGTTTAATTAAAGCTCAAGATAGTAGAGATAAGCTTGGAAAACCATTGTCGAGATGCATGTTTCGGCCCATAAAGTGACTTATTTCCTAACCAGGAGGAAGATCCATATAAACTTATTCATGGACATCCCCATTGAGAAAGGCAATGCCCACATCAAGCGGAAACAAATTGTCATAGTTACTGCCACAACAAGAAGTGTTTTAACCGAGTTTAATTTTGCAACAAGAGAATAGATATAAAATAAATCAATACCATAAATTTGAATGAAACCCTTAGCCACAAACCTCTCTTTATGCAGTTCAATACATCCATCTAGATTAAGTTTTATCTTGAACATCCATTTGTTCCCAATGGTATGTCTGTGGGTTGGTTTAAGGACTAGTTTCATTCCAAGACTCTTCCTCTATAAGTACACTCTAATTCATTGTGTTGGTGGAGCGTGATGCCAACAAAAGAGGAGCTATTGGAGTTTGACCTTGCCACGGAAGTGAGTAGAGGGCCCATGAAAGTGAAGTTCGAAAAGTTGGACCAGCACAAGAAGGTCAACGCAAGAGGTACAAGTCGAGTAGTAGAGCAAGATTGGAAGAAAAGAAAGCGCAAGAAATGGAGGATCAAATGCGCGGGTTGCACAAACGAGTTGGTCAACCTTGAGGGCAAGGTTGGTTCTCAAGGGGGAGGGGATGATGGAAACCTACTTTTTAGGTTTAACCATAATTATCAATATTAATATTATTAGGATTTATCTAGTTATGGTTATTAGTCTTTGAGCCATATTAGGATGGTCTATTAGGTTTTTCTAGTCTTTCGCTATAAATATGTAATTGGTCTTTCATTCATAAGCAGTCAAGAAGAATATTAAGAAACAATCTCCCAAACCCTATTCTCCCAATCCTCTTTATTCTTGTTCCCAATCCATCTAAAGGTCTAGACCGATTATCTATCTTTCTCTTCTCAAATCCCTAATTATGTTATTAATCCCTAAATCCCCAATTCCCGATAGGAACCCTAATCTCAGGTTCTATCATTTGATTGTTTTTTTAAGTAATATTGTCCCATGATCAATAGGATTTAGATTTAAATGGTTTGGTTATGGTATTCATAACCATTTACACACCCCTACACAACCATACTCGAAAAGTTTTTATATGCCAAGAAATAGATCCACTAATAAAGTTTATAGACTCGGATAAGGATGGCAACAAAACCCAAACCCACGGGTACCCACCCTACCCAACCCGATCAACGCGGGTAAAATCCGTGTTGACGGGTTTTGGACCGGGTTTGGGTTTAAACCCGTTCACTATTCACCGGGTTGGTTTGGGTTTAGGTAAACCCGACCCATGGGTACCCACCCACACTCATATAGTTAATTTTCTCGGTATATCTAATATTCTAAACAACTAATCTTATTTATGTTTGTGGAGACATGTCTAATTTTTTCTTTCTAATTGTGTAGAATGAAGTTGATGTCATCGAATGGAGAGTGAATAAACTTAATTGAAAGGAAGAAACTTTCAATTAATCATGTTATTTATGGATAATTTGTGATTTACTTTAATTTTATTGAGTTTTCTAGACTGGTGTTGAACAATTTGTATAGTTAATTTGTGATTTGTTTGAACTTTCTAGAATGGTGTTTTATATATGGATAATTTTTATTGAGAGATTGATATTTAACTTTAATTTTTATAGGAATTTGTTATTGTAAATTTTTTACGACAAAAACCCGTTGGTACCCATGAACCCACGGATACCCAGCGGGTTGGCTTGAGTTTGAGTTTTTCAAACCCAGTAGGTTTTACCCCGGGATTTTTTCACGGATAAACTCATGGATTTGGGTTTGGATTTGGCAAAACCCGACCCAACCCGACCCAACTCGACCCATTGCTCCTATGACTAAAAGAAGAAGTTTGGAGACTAGACTGGCCTTTTCTTTGCATATACAATTATACATACTAAATAAAAAAGTTGACGTTACTACTAATTAAATAATTAAACAGCTCCTAATCTAATCTGAGAATCTAGGGAGGAATACCAAATGGGGATACGAGAGATCGACACAATTCATGCTCCCAAAATTTCCAAATTGAATAATCCACAAAAAAATTAGATCCATTAATCTCTTCTTCTCCCTTTTCTTGGCCATATAATCCCCTCTTCTTTTTCCCGTCTGCTTTCTGCAACTTTTCATTAATTTTCCTTTTAATAATAATAATCGTTTTCTTGGCAGCATCGACGGAGCCGAGGAAGAGAAAAGCCATTTTTCCATCCATTACCAGGAAGCCTGGCTTCTCCGGCTTTCTCTTCCTCGCCGCTTCCCCTTCTTCTTCTTCTTCTTCCTCCTCCGTCGTTGTTCTTCTCCTTCCTTTCCCCCAAACCCTAAATTGATTACATCATTAAAACTAATCAATAACGTCAATTGATCTTCCTTTCTCATATATATAATCCCTTCTCTCTGGCATTTTCTTCTTCTCCGTTGAAAAAAGAAAAAGAGAGAACGGGGAAAAGGAAATGAATCATATTTAATACCATTTTCATAGCGTCCGGCGCCTCCATTGCCCTGTCCCCACCCTTTCTCTCGCTGCCTCGCGTCGTGTGACTGGGTAGGGAGGAAAAAGCGACAAAGGCCGTAAAAAGCACCCAAAGCCCTCGTCGCCTCCTCCTAAAAAGTGCTCCTTCTCTTCTCCTCCATCTGTCTCCAATTCCTGCTCCTCGAGACTCTCCTTGCAATTGGGTTTTCCTCCCTGCGGGCTATAGGTGAGTTTTGTCTCTTGATTCCTCCGGAGAGCAATTATGGTTGAAAAACTTTCCACTCCTTTTCCCGTCTGTTTTTAATATTCACTCAATTTGTTCTCTAATCTTCTTCGATCAGGCTTGATCGCCATTTCGTATGTTGATCGTTCTGCAATTTTTGCTTTTGTTTTGATCTCTACTTCTCCCGACGTTTAAGTTTGGTTGGTTTACCTTGATATGCCATCAGTTTTGTGTAACTGACGAAAAGTTTGGTGGGAAGGAAAGTAAGGGGGAAAAAACGTACTTTTAAGCTTCAATTACTTGCGCTCTGTCAAAGCTTTAGGTTGGTGTTACCTAGTCAGCTATTGCAGTTTGAGGGCTGATTTAAGAAAAGCTAAGCTGTCATTCTTGATCCGAATGTTTTCAGGGCTCTGCCTGGGTTCTCTTGTTTTTAGGCTTGTAGTAGAGTTGCACAAGTGCTTATTTAGTTGGTAGGTGCACGTAGAGGGTTTTTGTTACCAGTTATAGCATAAGTGGTAGCGAAAGTTCGTTCCTTTGGTGTTTTCTTTTTAGCAGCAGCAGCAGCTTATGTGATCGGTCCGTCCTCTTGAAGCTGAATTGTTTTACTTGTACGCTGCAACTGCTTGGATGAGCTTCCATCCTGGGTTCATGCTGCCCTGTTGTGTTTTGGATTCAGGCAAAAATGGCAGGGAGCCCTGTTGCCATGTACGAGAAGGAAGAGACTGAAAACCCCAGCTGGAGTTCTTCGATCCTTGCACAGACAACAGAAGATGTTGCGAAAGCTGTTGCTGCTGCAGCTGCCACTGTTCGTTCTCCACGCCCCTCTGTCATTTTTTCATCTAAAGAGGAAAATGTTGGTAGCCCACTTCAGAAATTCCAGCGCCAAGTGTCAAAGGTGCTCAAAGGCATGTCGCCTCCTCGCCGTGAAGCGAGGATTGGAAATTACAATCCTGAGGTTCTAACCAGTCAAAAGCGGCAATGGGCCAGTTTCCAGTTGCAGAACTTGGTATGTTATTTTAGTTCAGGTAGACCTTTTCGTGTATTGTCAATTGATTCCAGACCGGACAAGGTTAGCTATTTGTGATCTGGGTCCTCGTACTTAAACTTTTATTAAAACTTTGCTCATCATAGTGGTTTCAATCATCTTGTGTATATGAGTTTTTACTTGTTCAATCTGGCACTTGATCTATGGATGCTCAGTTTATTTTGTCACGTATTATTCATGATAATACTTCACTTGTTTAGTTATTGTGTAACAAATTCTTAGTCGTTTTTTATTACAACTACTTAAGCATGCAGGATCACAGGGCCTTGAAGGAGCATTCGAAACTTTTTGAGAGCATGGTCGTTGTTGGACTTCCTCCTAATAGTGACGTTCAGTCTCTTCAAAGGCAATTCTGTTCAAGAAGGTCTGAAGGTTCAGGGAGACTGCAAACTGTTCTTGGTTCTCAAAACCAGTCTCGAGTAGAACCTCTTCTCGAGCCTCAGGTGAAAACTTATGTTGAAGCAATATTGCGAAACTTGTTTCATCGGAATTTCATAATTTCTTAGATTTTGTATTAACCATCTGAATTTCTACTTCCAGGTCTTATTTGTTTACCCGCCCGACAAGCCACTACCTCTTAAATACAAGGATCTTCTATCATTTTGCTTTCCTGCTGGTGTGGAGGTTGGATATACTCTCATTATTTGCTTCGATTCCCTATTTCCCATTATTTGCCATTGTGCTGCGGGTTGTTCTTACAATTGCATATCTCATTCTCCTTTCACCTCTAAAAGGGATCCATAGATCTTACAATTGAATATCCATCCGTACAACTAATTGTGACTTTTCTATTCCTTTTTCCGCTTTTGTTGTTTCTTTTTTAGGTGTTTTAACTGATAAAGATTAGTTTCTCATGGTCAATCTTTAATCTTTCAATGAAATATATGTGAAGTGTGTTAATGTTGCTTTTAACTCGGGCTTTTCCATAATCTGCACTTTCAGGTTAATGCTGTCGAGAAAACTGCATCCATGAGTGAGTTGAATGAGATTCTTCTTGCACAGGTAACATTTGCTGTGATGTCATGTGGCATTTTTGCATTGATTAGTTGGTTCGTACATGCTTTTGTTACTTGAGTCAGTGGATGACATTGATTCATGAACTGCCTATTTATATTTCTAGACTCCTGTTGATTGAATTGTTGTGCTTGACCAAAAGTTTGGTCCTTGAAATGATTAGCTAAGTGCTTCAAGTGTCAAACAGATATAGCAAGACACTGGATTGTCCTGTAGGAATGGAATACTTGTAATATTTAAAGCAATCAGTCCTACTGGTGTTGGGAAATAGGCATTATAATTGTTTCATCTCTTTTTCTCAGGGGAAATAGGTAAAAATGTATAGTCATTCTTTCTGTTTCAATTTGCATTGCGTGGGATGAGTTTTTATGGAACCAGTTTTAGCGAAGCTGCACATATTTCAGTTTGTCAGGTCTAGTTTCAGATTTGCATTGATTATGGTACTGCTGATAATGTTTGGCAGGAACACTTCAAGCAGAGCGACTTGTCATTTGTTTTCCGGTTACAGGTATATTTCAAATGTACTTATCATGTTAGTTGCTTAGTGATAACTGATTATCAGTCAGTATATTTGCAACTATGTAATTCTTTTTAATTTCGGTTTATGTTCTTAAGCACTTTCCTTTTCTAATCCTTAGTTTCTTAGTTGAGGTTAAAACCAATTTCTCATCAGATGTGGGTGTTAGTTCTAGTTTTTATATCTTCCTTTGAAAGCTTGCATCATTCTTTTTGGGTCTCCTTGTATAGATTTGTATTATTTGGTCACCCGCCACAATGTTATATTGTCCTAGTGTTATCGTTTTTGTTGACATCTATCAATTCTTTCACTGACTAGTGAAATTTCAATCTGGCAATGACTTTCCTGAAATGCCTCTCCCTTTTCTTTCGGTTTGATATTCTGAATTTTATATTTTTATTGCCTAGGTTGCTGATGATTCAACACTCTATGGTTGCTGCGTGCTGGTTGAAGAAATCATTCAAAAACCATCTGGATTGCTCTCTGTGGTTTCAGATAAACAGCCTTCAATCCCAACATTGAGCCGTTATGAACTTACAACACGGAGATGTTATTGCATTCTTACACGCCTTCCTTTCTTTGAATTGCATTTTGGAGTATTGAATAGGTTCGTTTTTGGTTTTACATGTTGTCCCCCTTTCTCTTTTTCGCTTTCATGCCTATGGTATCGTAAACTATAAACTACAATTAAGATGTGGAGGTTATTCTGGCTGAGATCCGAAGGCGCTTGTTGTTCATTTATGTTTCCTTTTGACTTACAGTTAGTTCTCTTGCAGCATTTTCACTGAAGAGCGGTTGGAAAGACTTACCAAAGGTATTGGTTTTCTCGACCTTGATTGTTCCGGGGACTACCAGG